AAGTTTGGCTGCGCAAGCGGTGGAGGGGGCGGCGCAGAGCGCGGCGGCGCCATGGACGTCTCGGTGATCCCCAAGCATCAGACATGCTGGCAGCAACAGCAATAGAGACTATCAGGTATCAACATTGTCACCGTGCTCGTGCTCCAGCCTTTACGTGACTCGACCTCAGTCTCGGACTTGATAGGGTACCCCGGCGACAGGCAGGTCTTCGGGGCCTGCCGTCGGAGCGGAGATCCGGTGCACAAGGTGTAATGTACGGTCTAAAGTTTGCTGTGATGCTGTGCTGCGGCCGTGTAAGTTGTGCAGCATCGATGATGTGTGGAGCCTCCGTTATTGGATTCACGCAGTCCAGTCCCTACGGCGGCCAAACCACCCAAATCTAGTCCTTCTTGCGGGTTAAACATAAACTGCCTAAACCCTTATCTCATTCCCACCGACTGTTTCGACGCAGAAATTGCAGGGACAGTGCTTTGGCAAGAGAAACCTTCACAGGCCCGTGGAGGCCGTTACAGAGCTCAGAGGTCGCCAGAAGCGGCGAGAGGGGCCCAAGCCCTAAGCTTTAGCCACGCTTGTTTCAGGGATAAAGGGCACAGAGAGCGGCCTGACTGTTAAGGGCTCGCAATATTAGAATAGCGGAGGATTTAGGATTCCAGCGTCACCTCGTCGATCGTTCTGCAAGTTCCGGCAGACGTACCTCGAGTGCTTTAACGTCAATCAGACCCAACCGCGGACGAGGACGAGCAAAGAGACAATCACTGTCCCTACGGCAAGCGTTACGTGCTACCAACTACTCTAGCTCTAGACTCTAGACCATGCCACCCAGCCATAAAGTTCAAGGAACAGCTCCTTTTTGCGAGTATCAATTCTGTTGTAACTAACTTCAACTCGTACTGCGCTTAACGTGCAAAAATTATGTGTGATTACACAATACTTCTGTCCAGGCACGCAGAAGGATTCCGTACAGAACCTTCTGTTTGCTGCAGGAGGATTCCCAGGGCGTTGCACGCTGCCTGCCAACGACAGCATCTCACCGGACACATGAGACCAGCCTCCTATGCAACCACCATGTGTAGTTCGTTCAGGCTTGAACTTCGAGGTTGTTGCCACATGCTGCTCACAGGCTCCTGGAACGGCTAAGGCCATGCCCCTTTCCATCACGGTCTTAAGCTGTAAATTGAAGGCCTCAGTTCACTCCCCGAGGTCAGAAACAACTGAAATTCTGAAACGTCGATCCTACAACACAGAACCGTAATTAAAGTCTAAGACTGTGATTCTCAAACCTCCAAGCCCTAAAGCCCTGAACGCAACAGCACGAGCCCTCAACTCGCCCCCGTATTAGCCTCAGTCCAAGACCTGAAACCCGAAAAGTACACCCCAACGCCAGGCCTGCACCGACTTGCCCTGCAACTCGCGGATCGCCTTCTCATCGAGATGCCGCGCCTCCCAGGTGCGGGTTTGGGGTGCAGGCCTTAGGAATCTTCAGAGCTTCAGGTTTGGTAGTGCTAGGGCTGCTAGGGTGCCTTAGGGTTCGGCATTCTGGGCTTTGGATTTTGCATGGGGTAAGGCTTCAAAGATTTTGGGCCAAGGGTTCTGGGAGGTTGGGCTTCAACGGATGGCATCCTTGTTTATCATTCCTTTCTTCCTTTGTTGATTTGCTCCATGGGCCCTACGCAAGCCCGGAGCTCCAAAACCACGAATTGCAGGAACAGAGCATTTGGCAAGAAGGTTATCAGCTGGGTTCATCATCGCTTAACTCTCGAGGTTCGGGTCTAGGGCCTGGAGATAGGGTTGCAATCCGACTAGACGAGCAGAAGACGGTAGCATTCAGCCTATGTATAATTTTCTGATGCATGGAACTACTTCTGCACTTGTACCTATACGTGCATAAACATGCATGGTGGGCAAAGATATGAGATGTTGGCATATAATATGACATGTCATAAACACTGAAAATGCATGGACAGTCTTTGCACGGTCCGAAAACCCGTTGATAACTCTACTACTGGAAGCTCATGGAAGCGGCTTCACAGGGGTTATCTGACTCGCAGATGTGCTTAGAAGTCTCCGTAACCTTGACTGTTGACCGTACCGTAGTTTTACATTCATCACCAACCTCATAGGCCCCGGAAGTCCTGCACATCCTTCCGAATTGTGACGAAACCTTCGAACACCTGAGTCGCTTGTATCAAGCCGTCACCTGCTCCATCAACGCCAAAGCACTCCTGGGCTCAGGGACCGGGTTTGAACTATTTTGAACTGCAGGCTTTCGGACGGGAGCTGTGCGTGTAACGTTCCCGGATTCGGCACCCCGGTATCTCTTGCTAGCATGACGATAGCTTTCCGGCGTATGGGCGGGAATAGTATAGCCGCAGCATGTTCCATGTCACAGTCAACCAGGATAGAGACGTTGTGCCAGCAACGCGAAAGCGCCGAATCAATAATTGACATGGCTGAGGCTGTGGCTCCAACTCCTGCTTGCCGGGAGTGGGTTGCGCATTCCTTCCGCCGCAGCTAGGATCGGGATAAATGGAATAAAGGATGATTACCCTCATGTCCATGCGAAATGGCTAGTGAGAGAAGAACAACATGGTCTACTGAGTTTATTGAACCACATCGCACAATGACTGGGATCGAACCCTTAACCATTTTCGCCCTGATGTGGCTACAACCTGTTGATAAATGAACTTCGTACTGCGAGTGTGCTGTAGGTACGTCTCAGTGCCGCGGCCAATTAAATCTAGAACGCCACTGCAGGCTGTGCACCCCCAACCTCAGAAACTCCCAAACAGAGACAGGCCGTCGCGGCACGAAGCATGACTGCTGCCTGACAGCGGTTGAGACGAAGGCCGAGACATTTCGGACCTCAGGCAGAATGCGAACTCTTGGCCTTTGGTTCCGGATGGAGTTGTTCGTATCTCTGGGGCTGGGATTTGGGGATTCCCTCTAGCCTACGACATATCGGGAGGTAGGTCAGAGGAAAACAATTAAGTCTTTACAGGCCTCTACATTATGCTTTTCTCTGGGTCCCGATGTTTGATAGTTCCGGTGCACTCTCCTCGCTGGCGGAGGGGTTTTTTGGATTCCTAACGCTGGCGGGATTCCTAAAGTTGGCTCTCTGTGTCTTTTGGTTACAAATACTGTAAATTGCAGCATGCCCTACTGCTTTGCGTCAAGCCACTGGGGAATTGTATTTAGCAGGGTCCCGTTTTGCGCCAAGCTATTGGGGGAGTGCAATTTCCAGGCTCCTGTCTTGTGTCAAGCTTTTGGGGACTTTCGATTGTTATCCCAAGCTATTGGGGAGTGCAATTTCGAGTCTCCTGTCTTGTGTCAAGCTATGGAGGAATTACAAGTTGCAGGGTCTTGCTTTGATGCAAGCTGTTGGGGAATTCAAACTTGCAGGGCATTGTTTTGGCCCAAAGTATTGGGGGGAGTGCAATTTCGAGGCTCCTGTCTTGTGTCAAGTTATTGTGGAATTAGCCGGGTTTCGTCCCCCAAGCTATTGGGGAATGACAATTTTGTGCGTCAAGCTACTGGAGAGTAACAATTTGTTTGTTTTTGCGTTGTGTCAAGCTGTTGGGAATTCCAACCAGCAAGGTATTGTTTTAGCGAAAAGCCCCAAGCACCGAGCACAGCCCACATTCGGCGACCCGGACTAAGTTAAGCCTTCAAAAAACAAATTAAACCCATGCGTCCCCTGAACCCACAAAGTGTGACACCTGCAAACTCTGAAGTCAGATACCGCTCACACATCCCAACAACGAAAAACACCCGTCATCCTGGCAAGGTCCCGCCCTATGGGCCTTGCGATCCTTCAGACCCGAGCCCCTGCAGCCTTACCCACAATCATGTGAAGTTGTATGGCAGGGGTGTGTAAGGCAAGCATCTGACATGTCAGTTGTTAGCACCCCAACCTATAGTCACCTGGCTGGCAGTGACCTATGCCCCTTCAAGTCAGACACTCCGAACAAGCTTCTCTAACGGAGTATTACATCTCAAAAAATGTAGATGGGCCTCGTCCTGACTGCTGGCAACCTTGTTCAAAATGCTCAACGCAGTGACCTCAGCTGAAGCACCGCCCGTGCTGAGGCGCTTGGCTTAACATGTAGTTGCAGATGATGAGCGGTTTAGTCGTGATGATGATGATGGTCATGATGATCATGATGATGATGACACCAGGGTTGGATTGGATGAGTTGGCTCTGCTCACTTCCGTTCTGGTGGCAATTAGGACAGGATGTTACCACCTGCTTACATATATTTTTTGATACAAGAACACACAAACACACGCAACTACACTCTACTCTCCACCAGATGGCATATGCACAGCCAAAGCTTTCAAAAGACATTGACCCTCCAAACGCGCAGAAACCTGTTAAAGCCGTTCATGTCTTCTGGGTCACAGACTGGACTGGGCAGAGAGAGCAGGCTGCTTAATGCCTGGAGTGCCCATGGGGTTTACAATGCAGGACCGGGGTCTATGCTAAGTGTCCAGCCTCTATGTAGGCGAAGACTTCGGCTTGCATGAAGCTTAGGGTCAAGACTTCAACTGGAAGGTTTGGGGTCAAGGGTGTGGTTAGTGGGCAGAGGTCGCATGGTCGCTAAGGAAGCTGTGACAGAAGCTCCCGCTGCCGTCCTTCTCGTCTAATCCACCCAGGCAGCCGCTAGCGATGCTTTCCAGGATCGTTGGCATCGATGCAGCGCCCTCTAGCTAGGACAAACTTATTCGAGCTGCTGGTTGTGTAGCTGTCAAGAGTAGGGGAGGTTGCTTTAATGTCTGTCTTGAAATCACGGTTCTGCAAGCTATCCGGGTTGGTGGGGAAAAGGTCGTGCAAGGAGGTGTTCCACTGGCTACGAGTCTTCCGACATGGTCTACACCTGTATTCAGCTCGCAAATGGCATCGGGAGCAGTATGAACATAAATGCAAACGTACTCGAATCACAGACGAATACGGTCACACGGGCGGAAGTGGCGGCCGACACACATGACCTCTTTTTGGAACTTCACTGCCGAAATGCCTGCGAGAAGCTTGCGTGGAGCTCCCTGCTCACCTCAGATCAGAAGCGATCGGGGTCTTCTTCTCATTTTGTCAACATTATTACGTCATGACTCTGACTATGAGTGCTTCTTGCTACCGGCCTTGATACGGCGAGCTACTACGGCTATATGAGTTAGAACACTGAAACCAAATCTGGCAGTGAGCAGTTCTGAGCCCGATACACGATGGCGCAATGCCGCCACCTTCTAAAGCTATGAACTGCCACAGATGTGATGGCGGTGCAGGGGTCTGATGCTTGGGGTTCTTGAAGCTCCACCGTGCATACTGCATGCGACAGGACTTCCTGGCTTCATCCATAGCCATTTTACCATGTCATGTGCTTCAGCTGCGAGGACGCCAGTGCACGACATAGACCTAGTCGTCTCACAGACGAGTCATACGAGCCATATGAGAAAAAGCTGTATACAACAAAAACACACCTCAAACAAACCAAAAACCCACGCACGGCAACAAGGCCTCACGAGCTGCTTGAGATGAACCCACAAGCTGCAGCTGCTGATGAGTGATGCTTTCCGCCTTCATTGCAAATAGGAGTCCAGGCTACGCAGACCTCTGACTGAGCAAGCCCAGGCAAGCAACGCCAAGAAGCGACAGCCCCCGACAACGTGTCACTACACTGCGCGGACCGTGGTCGTGTGTTTCCGATTCTCGACACTGGCAAAAAAAAGGAAATACCGTCAGCTTGGCGGTTTTCCAACCATGCAACGCAATGCAACACACCCCTCTTATCAACGTTCCTGTTTCTAGCATCCCAAACCTGCGGCCTCTTTCAGGGCATCCAAGAGGGCAATCACCTCTCTATCCTGAAGGCAAGACATGACCGCCTGAGCTTTCTCGCAGAATCCTACATGAAGCAGGCTTCGGATTTGACTCTAAGGCGTTTAGAGTACATCCATGCTTATAGGACATAATGGCCACGGCAAGGAAACAGGACTTCCTGATTTGCGAGCGGCCATTCCTCGAACCCGTCGCACCCGGATGCTGAGTCAGTGGCCCAAGCGCGGTGAGCACGCGCGCGGCTTACCTGATCAGACACTGCGGCTTGTTGGTGGAGACCAGTTCATCATTTTCTCCATCGGGACGGCACTTGTTCTCTTCAACTCTCGTCATGCCTTGGTGGCCACGGCAGCAGTGCGGTGGCAAGCATCCTGCAAGTGCTGCACGGTGACAGCATGGACTTCGAAGATACGGAACATTCCGAGCCTTGAAAAGAACTGCAATGAGAGATTACGACTCACATGTAGCTGGGCCAGCATGTACACGACTTCTACTGTTTCTGCTGCTGCCACGCTTGCTGACAGTTTGCCTACAGCCAACGGGAGCTGTACATCGAATACTTCGAAGACAACACGCTCGGCTGTCAGAGGAAGAACCGTAGAAGCTTTATCTCGGCATTCACTGTTACTCAGTCACGTCGTGTTGTCATCGCCAGCGCGAGACACGGCTGATAGCATCATCATCGACATCGTCGTCGTCGTCATCATCATCATCGTCATTGTCATCGTCATCGTCATCATCAACAACGTCATCCCCATCCCATCATCCCGGTATAGGGTGAAAGTCTTGGTTCGTCATACAGTTCAAGGCTTCATCACCATCATCTGGTTCAGCGTCATCAGGAAAAAGCGCCAGCTTGCACCTCAAGGCGTTGCTCAGCGTGGGCTTGCAAGGCCTCGCACCGCAGCATAAGAGTGCATCTCTTTCCCTTGCTTCCCTGCTGTGTGCATGTAGAAGTCGAAGAGATAAACAGACGGTTCGCTACCAGTAGGTTGGCAAGTGTGATGAACATCCATCGAATTTCTGCAACTCTCGAGGGTGCGACTCACAGTACAGCAGTGCACGGCAGGCTGGCAGTGAAAACTTCGAGAAGAAGAGCCTCAGCCGCCTCGGGCCTGGGCCTTGGCCTTCCTCTTCGGAGTTAACGTCACATCTTCAGCATCAACGTAACGTTCAACCTCCCTAGCCACCCACACTGCCCCACACTCTAAACCGTCCCCATCGGAGCAGAGCTGAGTCTCAAGAAGTATCCAGAAGGGTTGTCCATGCTAGTCTTGGTCTTCGAAGTTTCCAAGCGGAAATGTTGGGCATGTTCAGTGTCTTCAACACTTCCAGGGAGGGTTGTGGGATACAACAGCGCCCATAAGGGCGATCAAGTTGTTCACTTTCGATAGCCGCACGCTGAGGCGATTCGGATGCGTCTCTTTCTGCTTGGGACCGGCTAATAACAACAACTATTGCTTTCGTTCCGCTGGTCTACAGTTGACTGGAGCAGTCCAAGGATGTAGGAAGCCTTCCCCTAGACCCATGAAGCAAGCACCGAGCTTACATTGACATGAGTCTGCACAGTGATCGCGGCTACACATCCTCATGCACTCAACATCAAACCTTACGACCTGTATCCTAAATCCGAGAAGTCGAAGCGTGAGCGGTAAAGCTCCAATCATAGTTCAAAGAAGCCCACGAACCTTAAACCCATAACCCTAAACTGTACATCCTAAACCCCAAACCCTGCCCCCAAAGTTCGAAACCTTAATCGCCAGCAGGGCACCTGACCTGAAACCTTGAACTCGTGGCTTTAGGATAGGCCTCGGCTTGTCTGAAGGACTCTGCGGCCATTTCTTCCAAGGCCCTGCGCATTTCAGCCGCCAGGGCCTGAGAGAAACCGTTGGTTAAAAGATGAGGCGTGGAACTTTACGTTCAAGGGGCTCCCTAAACGGCTGAAACGGCAAAAACCCCGTCGAACCTAAGAAAACTAACTCTGAACATTGTGATGTGCAACATCTTGTTCCGCCTGACTGTGCTCAATATCTTTTTGTATCACTGCGGCTGTTCCGAGGCTATTCGTCTGACTCTGTGCGGGGGTCTATTTAGGGATACAATTTCAGGCTCGGATCTGCATTTGCCTCCGGCTCTCTTTGCTCAATCGAGAACCTCTCAGGAATACTCACCCTGGGGGCCTACGAGGTGGATGTCCGTGGGCAGGTAGTCAAGTAAAGACAAGAAGTGTCGCGATGCCGTCACAAAGAGCACTCCACTTAATCCCGAATTGGTGCATGTGCCCAAGGATCATGTGGGGAAAACCCCAGAGAGCCGGCCTTCGCAGGATTTTCCGGGAAAGGCACGCGAGCCTCGACATGAATTCTGCCGTACTTCCTCTCGCCTCTCGCTCGACATCACAGCAAGTCAGCAAGGAAAGCGTTCCCGATCTCGAACACAAATTATAAAAATACTGACGCCGGAACACTCGCCCAAACCCCTAGTCGAAAACATCAGACTTATGATTACCGTAACCGGCACAACAACGGTGGTATATGACCTCAATAGTAAGACGAACCTCGAAAGCAGTGGCATTTGAGATTGCCGATTGCCGTCACAATTACAACCACTACGTTCTCATGACAGTGGCAAATCCACTTTCATTGCGAGAGAAGCCTCAGCAGCCTCGACCGTAGATCGCAAAGAAGCTCTTTCTCCCACGGCGGCCGCTAACCTTCGCGCCGCGGAGCTTGTAGCTTCTGTACCGGGGTGTCGGACTACTTCACTGCTACTGCTACGGTTTCGCTACCGCTACACTGCTACTACGGGGCTACTTCTCCTACTCATACTACTCCTACTGCTGCAGCTTCTTTTGTCACTGCTCCTGCTGTCTCATGAGAATCTCTACTGGTTCCATCCTCAAGAACGGTATTGTCCCACGTCCGAGATGGCCCACCACTTCTGAGGTCCCGAACTCGTCTTCTGCACGTTCCAACAGCCACTCCTCCTGAAGCGATGGGTACAGGCTTGCTGTTGGAGCAACACCCCGCAAGAGCTCATGCTGAGTTCGAGGTTCTTCGTTTCTTTTTTTGCGGGCCCTTTTCCAGCTTTTGGGATCTTCCCCGCGCGCCCGAAGCATACGGAACTCAAGGTTTGCTGGGCAGGGTTTGCATCTGGTTCAACACCTGGGGCCTTGGGACCAGGCCTACGAGTGGGCGAATTAGCAGGAGCAGGAGCCACACCACTCCGCCGAAGCGTGCACATGTGTGCTTAGTCTGCTTGGTTGGCTCATATGTACACTATGTCCAGACTTCAGCAACTCGGTCTCCGTCTATGCAGACTGGGAAGGCCTTCGCAATGGCTGCTTGGAGCTCTGCCACTTCCTGACCAGGGTCGGGCTTGCGGTGTCATTTCGGGACGAAAAAGCGTAAGCTGTGAGAAGCCTTAGAGTGCTTAGACAAAACTTGGCTCACAAGACCGACGTTTGGCATACACGCAGTCGTTTCGTGGCAAGTGGGGGAGTGCTGAAACGGTTTGCCTCAGCCAACACAGTATTCCAGCATACGCCGACTCCCTTCTTAGCATGTCCGATGGCAGGGCTACGACGGGTTTGGCAAGTTCGCGGTGTGGGACCTGGAACGCGGCTGCAGGCAGGATCATGCAGGAACACCGAAGTTTCTGGCAGTGGGACAAGAAACAACTTCTTCCCAGCATGTCTTGAAGAGTCCAATGACGGTGAGCGTTGGGCTGGGTGATTTCGGACTTTTGGGCTCTAGCATCTGCACATGTACAACTCTTTGAACAGCAGATCATAGCAAGTCTTGCCGGGCTTGCGGCTTGAAACTTTTCGAAACAACAACAACAACAACAACAACAACAACAACAACAACAACGACAACAACAACGACAACGACAACAACAACGACAAC